CTTGTAGTTGGCCACCAGGTTTGCACACATCTCACGAGGGATTTTGTCCCACTCCTCTATGCAGATCTTCTCCAAGTCATTAAGGTTTCGAGGCTGACGTTTGGCAACGCGAACCTTCAGCTCCCTCCACAGATTTTCCATGGGATTAATGTCTGGAGACTGGCTAGGCCACTCCAGGACCTAAATGTGCTTCTTCTTGAGCCACTCCTTTGTTGCCTTGGCCGTGTGTTTTGGGTCATTGTCATGCTGGAATACCCATCCACGACCCATTTTCAATGCCCTGGCTGAGGGCAACAACATTTGACGGTACATGGCCCCGTCCATCGTCCCTTTGATGCGGTGAAATTGTCCTGTCCCCTTAGCAGAAAAACACCCCCAAAGCATAATGTTTCCACCTCCATGTTTGACGGTGGGGATGGTGTTCTTGGGGTCATAGGCAGCATTCCTTCTCTTCCAAACACGGCGAGTTGAGTTGATGCCAAAGAGCTCCATTTTGGTCTCATCTGACCACAACACTTTCACCCAGTTGTCCTCTGAATCATTCAGATGTTCATTGGCAAACTTCAGACGGGCATGTATATGTGCTTTCTTGAGCAGGGGGACCTTGCGGGCGCTGCAGGATTTCAGTCCTTCACGGCATAGTGTTACCAATTGTTTTCTTGGTGACTATGGTCCCAGCTGCCTTGAGATCATTGACAAGATCCTCCCGTGTAGTTCTGGGCTGATTCCTCACCATTCTCATGATCATTGCAACTCCACGAGGTGAGATCTTGCATGGAGCCCCAGGCCGAGGGAGATTGACATTTCTTTTGTGTTTCTTCCATTTGCGAATAATCGCACCAACTGTTGTCACCTTCTCACCAAGCTGCTTGGCAATGGTCTTGTAGCCCATTCCAGCCTTGTGTTGGTCTACAATCTTATCCCTGACATCCTTGGAGAGCTCTTTGGTGTTGGCCATGGTGGAGAGTTTGGAATCTGACTGATTGATTGCTTCTGTGGACAGGTGTCTTGTATACAGGTAACAAGCTGAGATTAGGAGCACTCCCTTTAAGAGTGTGCTCCTAATCTCAGCTCGTTACGTGTATAAAAGACACCTGGGAGCCAGAAATCGTTCTGATTGAGAGGGGGTCAAATACTTATTTCCCTCATTAAAATGCAAATCAATTTATAACATTTTTGACATCCGTTTTTCTGGATTGTTTTGTTGTTATTCTGTCTCTCACTGTTCAAATAAACCTACCATTAAAATTATAGACTGATCATTTCTTTGTCAGTGGGCAAACGTACAAAATCAGCAGGGGATCAAATACTTTTTTCCCTCACTGTAAGTGTGCCGCCGCCGCCGCTGTACGTCCGTGTACGCGATTTTATTGGTCCAGTCCGTTCCGCACCTTTGCCCGTGATTAAACCTCCGCTCGGGGAGCATGCTGCGGCATATTTGCGGTTGAGGTGGGGAGAGCCATTGGGTTAAAAGACAAAAACCTCGGGCACTAAACGTTTATTTCCAAGCAATGTAAATAAATAACCTGACTCTTATTTCAAAATAACACGCTAAATATGCGCTAGTGCCTTTCCGCATCATACTTGATCAGAAATGAGTCATGGGCAAAAAAATAAACAAGTCTATTTTCTTAATAATATAAGTCTCTCAAAAATATGCACATATTTCAAGCTTAACCTGGAGAATGCCTCTAAGGCTCAGCGTTAAATATAATTACATTTTCTATAATTCTTTTCCGGCAAGTTCTCAATTTGAAATTGTGCCAAAATGCCAAACTGGGTCATGTTGGTGTTATGATGCACCCCACTTACAGTACAAACTTGCCTGCCAAGTAAACGCTGATGTATAAATTGACAAGGCGTGCATAGATTTTGTTGTCGGCGGTGAGCAAAGGAGGAGAGGAAGAGGTTGAGGGGGGGGGGGGCAAGGTTATTTAAAAAAAAAACATAAAAATCTGCGTAGCGCAGCCGAACGTGTGAATTCCGCAGATTTCCAACACACGCGCGCGCGTGTGTTCCAGCCAGCCCCTCCGTGCGTCATCACGGGCCTTCAATGCCTCACCGTTCCGCTGTAATTCCCTCGGCTCATCCCTAACATCAAGACGCGCCCCTCTGCTGGATAGACACGCTGTTGCCACATTGATGTTCCGAAACCGTGAATGTTTACTAAACTCTGGCGGACGGGGTGGGGGAATGGGTAAAGAGAAAAATCTTTTCCAGAGGGCTCAAAAAATCCACGAGGCGTGGTGGCGCCGTGAGCGAGGAGATGCGAGAGGCTGCACATTTCACCCAAGCACCTCCTGCAAATCCCATCACTGAAAGCAGTTTATCCAGGGATTTTCTCCACTGCAATTCAATCCCATTCCAGAATCATTCACTTACAACCTCTTAGTTGGGTCCCCCCCCCCCAACTCACACCCCCCCCTCCCACGTCCAATACCATGGGGGGGGGGAGGGGGCACGTGCGGCGTTGAGCCACAACCCCCGCATATCAAGCAAGGGTCACCACGGTGGCGTGTGCCATTATGGTTTTCTTGCAAATGGAACGGACGCTCTTAATGCATTCATTACTCAAGCCCCCCCCCCCCCCCCCCCCCCCCCCGCGCATGGCGGGAATAGATTCGCAAGGACGCGTGCGGTGTCTCTATCTCCGAACAGATCGCCGCGGAACTCTATGGATCCGCCGAAAGCCGGAAGTGGACGTGTGGCTCGGGGTGGCGGGGTGGGGGGGGGGGGGCTTAAAAGCCTGTGAGAGCGCTGAGCCCAATACTGTGGTCGTCGTCATAGTAGTAGCAGCAGTCTTTTTTTTTTTCCCTCTCCACATTTTATTTACAATGATGCCATCAGCATCATGCTGCGAGATGAAGCGCCCGCTTGGAAATTTTGCCGAGCAGTGACCCACCAAAACCCCCCCCCCCCCCCCCCACCCCCCCCCCCCCCCCCCCCATGCGCAGGAGAACGGCCTCCAGAAGCAGACGTAGCGGGACTTCTCAGATCGTCGCCTCGCTCCAGTTGAGAAGCCGGCTTCATCGCGGGCGGCTGAAATCTGGGCTCGAACCTTGTTTTATTTTCAGCGCTGGTCTCAGTTCTCTGATCCATGACCTGCCACTGACCACCTACAATAATTGTGTAGATTAAAATTCTTGCCTGAGAATGAGGCCTTATTTTGAGAGTTACATTTGTCAGGCGAGCCCTGCTTGAGGAAGGGTGGCCATTTCCTCTTTGAGTTATTGCTGTTGTGCAGCCTCTCTCCGAGATGCTACGTTTGAAATCCTGCGAAAGGTGGGTAAACTGAGATACTCGGGGGTGGGGGGTTACTGAAGATGAAGTAAAATTTTCACGGTCTCAACCCCTGCCACCGATGATTGCCACTGGTAATGAGCAAACATAGCCAGATAATGAACCCGGATCTCCGAGAGGAGAGCGCAGCGGGGGGCTAGCCATCAAAACGCTGCTCTCAAGGGGGCGCAGGGAGCACGGCGTAAGCAGTGTCCTGAGCGGAAACAGTTAGAACGGACGATTTTGGTAATAAGCATTAAACTGTCTGTTGTTTCTATGGATGTGATTTAAAAAAAAAAACCCTGTGAATCAGAGAAACATTGGAGAGCAGCGCGCCAATTAAAAAAATGATAAAGGGTTCAAAAGGACGTGAACGCACGTGCGGCGAGCCCGCCAAAGATGAGTGCAATCATGCAATCGGCCAACGAGCCACTTAACGATCACCAAAACAAAACGAGATGCGCACATCCGCGCGCGCGTCTCCTTTTAATCAGAAAGGTCGCGGTTTTCAAAGAATTAATAAACTAATGGACCCGGCGACTGTGATCTGCGCAACGCGTGCCCTCCAACTTGCCGTGTAAATTCTGGTGCTCGAGCACGGAGAGGCACAAAGAGGGATGAGGGGGCCCACTCTTCCACTCTTCGCTCGGGCCGGGGGGGGGAGGGGGGGGTACGCTGAGCCACTAGAGCCTGAGAGGCCCCTGTGTGACGGTGGCGGACGCGAGCTTCATTAAAGCGTCGCCGCAAATTATTCCCGAGCGTCATGGTACCGCGGGGAAACGCAAACAGGTGATGTGGGAACATCCGCCCGTGTCCAGGGCGATGGGCTCTGTCACGCCGGTTTTCAACGAGGCCGTGGCGCGATCATCACTGTTCCTTGGATTTGCCCTACCACTGCTGTTTTTCTACCAAGGAAAGGCCCGCTGAGCTGAACAGCTCTTTTTTCAGAAGCGAGCCGGCCGAAAAAATGATAGCTCGACGAAGTGGCTTATCATGACGTGGAAATTTATACCAGCCAAATTCTCAAAACGCACGTCAATACTAAATGTGAATGGAAAATTAAAAACCGGAGGAACCCGGAGAAAAATCCACGCGACCACGGGGAGAACATGCGAACTCTAAATATACAAGAATCTGGGTTGGAATCGAACCCGCAACCTTCTACATTCCAGGTGAGGGAGTTAACATCTCGCCACAAGAGTGGCCAAGTAGTTCCCACAAGCCCCGCAGATTGCAGGGAGGGGGGGGGGGGAGGTGGAAACTGTTGCGTGGTGGTGGCCCATCTGGTGGCAGTGGTGAGAAAAAGCAATTGCAGGTCTGCAGCACTACACCTTTACCCCACGGATGGCCCAACCCATGCCCATGGAGTTCCCATCGCAGAATAGTCCTGCCACCACCACCACCACCACAATCACTACCCGTGCGAGGGAAGCGTTACCAAACGGGTAGTTGAAGGGTTAAATTCTCCACACTGGACAGTCGGGCAATTTCCCCATAAACCAATCCCTGGATTTGCGCCACCGCACACTCAGCCCGGCTTAAATCACGCGGCAGCCGATTTAAGTTGAGCTCTAAGTTGGGCGCCGAGCGCGAGTCGGCGGCCCGGTTGCAGGACCGGGCTCGCCGGGGCAAATTACTCGGTCGACCGATGCAACCACCACCCGCCCCCCCCCCCCCCCAAAAGAGCGACAGCGGCACCCCCCGCGGTAGATTGCCCTCACCTGTCGGTTGCGCTCGTCCGTTATCCGGGCGATCTGTATCTTTTTCCGCCCCATCTTCCGGCCTCCTCCGTGGGTGTGCGGGCGACGACGAAAATGTCCGCCGCTCTGTTGCCTCGGAAACGCTTCTTGCCCGACCTCCTCACTCTGCGAACGCGAGGAGACAAAAAAAAACAAAGCAGCTGCTCATCTCAAACGTTCCTGCTATCAAGGGCGCGGAGGGGACAGCATTTTCTTTTTATCTGCCACCTGGAGTAGATTTTTTCTTTGCGCGTGCGCCTGCTAGACAGATTAACCAACCGGCATTAAACTGCTGGGACTTGGCAGGCACGGTCAGGGCTACAGGCAACAGTACCCCCCCCCCCCCCCCCAGTCTCCCCCCTCCTGCTCAAGGTCACGTCCTGACATTCACAGGAAGTGGCATCACCCCCCAACATGCAGCCACTTCAACCGTTAGCGTCTCGATCGCGGAGAAAGCCGGTCAGGTGTGAACGACGGATATGTCGCGCGGTTAGCTATGGGGCAGGAGGACAAGATAATCTTCCCCGGGCAAGGCTTCTCAAGTTTTAGATTATGTACACATTTCACTCGACGTTTGGCTGTCCTTTTGGCCAGACAAAAGATTAAAAAACACGCCGGTTCAAATAAACACGGCACGTCGCGTTTCGCTCATATAGGTCAAGCACATTCTGCGGTGAAGATGCACGGACAATTGGGCGTTTATTTATTAAAATAACAACACGTGCGGCTGTACATCTCTCACACGTCCCACAGTTTGTAAACAACACACTTGTGTACACGCACATGCAGGCAGGCAGACAGGACGCAGAACTGGGACTGCTGCCAAAACAGAAGGGGCAGTGTGCCAGGAGGCGCAATTTTGACAGCAAATGGAAAACGAGCTTGCAAAGCTAGAAAAAAAAGCACCCACGCACATGCGACGGCTTCCAGTCTATGGGAGCTGCGGAAGCGAGGCCCCCTGTTCGCAGGCGGCGGCTGACGCCAGCTCAATTAGACGCCGGGAGGAGACACACAGACAGGCGCGCAGCTGGTCCGCCTGTCTGTCGGCACAAGCAGCGGAGCACAGCCACTTCGAGCCGCGCGAGCCAACGCGTGGCAACGATCCCTGCCCCCCACCCCCTCAACTGCCCGAGTCTGTCATCATGCCATCATAGAGGAGCGGGCTGGGGGTGGGGGGGGAGGTCTATCGTCCACCAAGATGCTCTCTGTACACGGAACGATACCGCGATTTGATTGCGTTCATATGAAGGGCGCTGTTAGAACAGCGGTGGGTTCGTAGAGTGGCACAGCGGAGGGTTCATAGCGTGGCACAGTGGAGGGTTCATAGCGTGGCACAGCAGTGGGTTCATAGCGTGGCACAGCGGTGGGTTCGTGGCGTGGCACAGCGGAGGGTTCGTGGCGTGGCACAGCGGTGGGTTCATAGCGGTGCACAGCGGTGGGTTCATAGCGTGGCACAGCGGTGGGTTCATAACGTGGCACAGCAGTGGGTTCATAGCGTGGCACAGCAGTGGATTCATAGCGTGGCACAGCAGTGGGTTCATAGTGTGGCACAGCGGTGGATTCGTGGCGTGGCACAGCGGTGGGTTCATAGCGTGGCATAGCAGTGGGTTCATAGCGTGGCACAGCGGTGGGTTCATAACGTGGCACAGCAGTGGGTTCATAGCGTGGCACAGCAGTGGGTTCATAGCGTGGCACAGCAGTGGGTTCATAGTGTGGCACAGCGGTGGATTCGTGGCGTGGCACAGAGGTGGGTTCATAGCGTGGCATAGGAGTGGGTTCATAGCGTGGCACAGCGGTGGGTTCATAGCGTGGCACAGCGGAAGGTTCGTGGCGTGGCACAGCGGAGGGTTCGTGGCGTGGCACAGCGGAGGGTTCATAGCGTGGCACAGCGGTGGATTTGTAGCGTGGCACAGTGGTGGGTTCATAGCGTGGCACAGCGGTGGATTTGTAGCGTGGCACAGCGGTGGGTTCATAGCGTGGCACAGCGGAGGGTTCATAGCGTGGCACAGCGGAGGGTTCATAGCGTGGCACAGCGGCAGATTTGTAGCATGGCACACAGCGGAGGGTTCACAGCGTGGCACAGCGGTGGATTTGTAGTGTGGCAGAGCGGTCAGCGCAAAACGCTACGAAACCCGGTGACCTGAGTTTGACAACCAGTGATGAGCGATACGCGAGTCAATCCTGGACATTCACCTAAGTTACCTCAGCCTTAAATGAGCACCTGGTACGGTGTGAAAACACATCAGTACTGGAGAGACAAAGGCCGCTGGGCATGGCGCTAAGGACTGAAAGAGTTCTGTGCTTCCCCATCCCTTCACGAAGCTGCAGAGACCAGCATGGTGAGGTATCGTTCAAAGAATCCCATGATTGACATGGAGGAGGCAAGGCTTTCGTCCAGCAGTGGACTGATAAAGAGCTACAAATTATAATTATACATTTAAAAAGAACTCTCCTCCTTTGTCGGTTTCCGAATCTGCAACGATTTATCCTGCTCGAGAGCGGATAAACTCTCATGATTTGGTGTCGCAATTAAATTCAAGTAGACCCGATTATATTTGTATTAATTGTGGTGAATTTACGGACCACAAGCGGCACAGAGCATGGGGGTCACGTGAGCGTGTTACATGCAAGGCTTACGAATCGAAAATAATCCATTTTCACACGCGTGACTCGACGCATGTTTCGCGATTGTAAAAAAATAAATCTATTTTAATTGACCAATCAATGCATCATTATGCTCCCAGTTTTTAATGAGCCTTTGTAATCAATGCTTGGGCAATATGGAATGCGAGTGGGATCTTTTTTTGTTAACATTACCTCCCAAACAATTTTTTTTTGTATTTTGTTTAAAAGCATCAGTTTTATTTTTAAACTTTAATCCCGCTGAAATTGTTTTGTCTTGCTTGATGCTGCGTATTTTTTAAGGGTTTTTTTTCCTGTTTTGGCTCATATTTCAGCTTTGTTTGCCGTTTTTGATCTTTCATGACGCGCTATGTATTGTTTCACGACCCAGGTCTCCCTGAACATGAAATGTTTAGTCTCGATGGGGGTCTCACCTAGTTTCAAAGAGAGATTTGATGATGATGTTGATGGTCATTGATGTGAAAGCTAACTCATGGGCATATTTATCTACCGGTTGAAATTAAAGAACCCCATGACGCAATTCTCAAGAGGCCATTTGCGCATTACTGCCAGCACATAGATCCGCTGATAATCTTTAAGAATAAGTAACCATCTCAAATTAATGTTCACAGAGGACTCTCGCCTACAAACAAGAGACTGCCTTTTTGTTCATGGTGGCCACACCGTGCTGATGAAGCACAGCGAAATCAAAATCGGTCCGGGATTTTCCTGCTTTAAACAAATGTTACGATAAAAAAAATTTTTTACCTGAAAGTCGATAGACGGACGAACCAAAATACCATTATATTTCATATTTTGGCAAGGAAAGAGACCTTTGCTTATTTAAACATTATTCTAATTTCTGCCGAGATCCAGGTTGCCCCTGCTTGCAAAAAACAAAGGCACGTGCATGACACTTAGCGATAAAAGACGGGACCGGGCGGTCCCCAGACCGGTGCGTATTTCAAAGCTGCAGCATAGAACGTGGTGCGGGGGGTGGGCGGCTGCGACGATGTCAACATCGGCAACGATGACCTCAACAACAGGAGAAATATGGTCATTTTAACGATGAAGATGTAGTCATTTTAACGGACGGACGGACGGGTGGTTGCGCTGGTTAAGGGGTGGGGGAACGGACAGACGGACGGACAGTTGGGATGGACGGGTGCTACTTGCCTACGCAAAGTTGAGCGAGCCAATCGCTGCGAGTCGGTCTCATCAAGGCGCATGTTTACACGCCGCGCGCCCACTCGCCCCCCCCGTGACCGCCGGGCATGACTGCACGGGGGCGATCGTCGTCGCGGCTACGTGGACACCCGGTCACACGTACCCGCGTTTATTCCCTCCATCGTGCACACTCCAGTGCCTTGCCGTGAGAGGTCAAATTCCGTCGGCGACCGCCGCCGCCGCCGCCGCTGCAAAATGTTGTTACGCAGAGCGAGCGTGTGGGGGTGTTTAAAAAACATTTTTTCTGAATAATCTCGACAGAGAGGGCCTCCCCCCCCGTGCCTGCGTGGGACGTATCGGGGGGGGGGGGGGTTGTTTGACCATAGTTCACCACGCTGGGCAGCGCGGGTTGGTGATCGCGGGGCGAGGAGCACAGACGTGAGGAAGCATAGAAGTACTGCACAGATCGACAGTGGAATGTTTCTGCACTGCCCCCTACTGATCACCACGTCAGCCCCGCAAGCGCTATGGCAACCAGCTTGTGCATGGTGGTGGTGGTGGTCTCCCATACAGGCACCGTCCAGGCTTAACCCTGCTTAGCTTTGGAGGTGTGACGAGATCAGGGGGGCACATTGCGTGCGATTTGGTCGTTTCGCCCCGACACAACAACCGAACACATTTAAGCAAAACAAAACATGTAAATGGTAACGATTTGGCATAACGCACGCAGTTGCGCGCGCGATGACTTAATTTACAACGGCGGGTGGAGTCATTCGCCGTGCTTGTTCGGTGCCACAGCTGTACGCCAGCCAGCGCGGCTGTCAGGACGATAATAACCAGATACTGCACGTCCTGTCAAACAGCACGGGGCGACTGCGTTTGTCACGGCGGTGTAAAAGGCCGGAACGTCATCATTTGTGCGGCAAACTGGAACATGAAGGAACCCGTGAGCGCCGCGCTCATTTATCGGTGCACATCTATCACATCACGCACTTCCACTGAAACCAAACGCACATTGACAAAGATCCCCGGAGAACCTGTAACAGACAGTAGGGGGGCAAATGCTGTTAGCGAGCACCAATTAAGGCCTGCACGGTACACGAGGAGGTGGGTGGCCAGAACCATGCCCGACGCCTTTGTCTCCCCAGTGACGACGATGTTACACACCTCACCAGGCACTCATATGAGGGTGAGTCGACCTAGGGAAGGCCCAGGACCGGTTAAGATAATCGTCACGGGCGTTGGCCGTGAGCAGGAATTGAACTCGAGCCGCCGGGTTCGTAGCGCAGCGCGCTAACCGCTACCATTCCCCACGATGATGACTGCCATACGCATGC